CCGCCCCTGCGTCGCGGCCCCGCCCCTCGAAGCGGCCCCGCCCTACGTCGCGGCCCCGCCCCGGACCCTATGCGGCCCCGCCCTACCTTCGCGGCCCCGACCTGTCGCGGCCCCACCCTACGTCGCGGTCCCACCCCGACCGTCGCGGCCCCGCCCCGCTCGTCGCGGCCCCGCCCCTTGTCGCGGCCCCGCCCTCCCCTCAGGTCCGTGGTGGCCCCCCCCCCTTTCTCCCCTTCCCCCATTTCCCGTCGCCCGTCGCGGCTCCTTCGGGGGCCGCGCGAGCTGTGGGGTGGCGGGTATGGGGGTGGCCGGTGTGCCTTCCTCCCTTTCTCCTCCTCCTCCTTCGTCTCCCACTGCTGCAGCTGTCGCTGAGGGGGGTGGTTGTGTGGGAGACTGGGGTTTAGGGTTTTAGGGGGGTGCGTGGGAGTAGAGCTAGTGGTGTAGTAGTGGGTGTGTATCAGGGGGGTGGGACTGTGTGCGGGAGGATGAGCGGAGGTTGCCAGTTTGTCGTCAGCAGCACCTGTAGTCCGGGGCGCTGTCCCGGTAGCCCAGTCGTAGCCAGCTGTGCCAGCCGCCCGTGGGTCCGTTGCCCGTCCGCCGCTATTTGAGCCGCGGGGCCTGTTACCCCTGTAGTCCGGGCGCTGTCCGGTAGCCGCTGTGCCAGTCTGCCTCCTGTTGCCCGTGTGTCTGCAGCTTCAGCCGTCGCCTCCTGTCTCCTCTCCCCTCACTCTCCCTCCTCCTCCTCACTTGCCCGTTGTGACTACCACTAGCTTTGCTTATAATTGTAAACTCTAAACTATTTCTTCTTGAACTTGTGCTCAGAATGTGTGGTGACATTGTGATCCACCCTGAGCTTGTTTTGCTTTGCCTGCTCTGCTGATTACACCCCACTTTGGCTATGGGGGTGTGTCAGAATATTATCTTATTGTTCTAGCCTGTAGTGGGGTGCTCTATAGCGAGTACAACCCTTCTAGGGTTTGCTATTTGTATCCTCATTCTTGCTAGTTCAATCCCCTTTTTCTTCCTTCTTACTTTTGACAGTGTCCAGCTCCGTGTAGTACTTGACTAGTGCACGTCGGAGGACTTGCTGACTAGCATCAGTGAAGTGAAAGAGCATGAGGCATCTCCCATACCACACCCCACCCTGCCCTTCTATCTGCACATGGCTGAACTTTTGCTCTGCCGACGACGCCTTTATAACATGACCCAAAACTCCTCGTTCCATCCGGTTGTGCGGGGGGATGGCCAGCGCAGTGTGAACCTGCATGTAATCGCACATGCACAAGGGTAAGTCTCACGCCTGATTTCGTGTGCCCAAGTATTTCTGCATACCAAATCAATGTTGCAACGGGGGCAACTAGCGGGGTGTGTGGAGGAACCAACAAATGAAATGACTCACCTGCACCGTATCTGCATCAATGCCCACTGCTCTCATCACCTCCACCGCTCTTGCCATGACATCGGGCCCGAGTGCATCACGGAACTCCGACCACACAGGATCCATGTCGACGTCAACCTCCATGCGACAGCTTCGTTTGGTGAGGACACGGATGTTGTGCTCCACCGCCTGGTTCAGGTTACGGTTTAAGCAAACATGGCATGAAAATACTCTGTCCCACTCAGCAGGGCTGATACAAACTAAAGGGGCCGGCATTTCAGGCCAGAATAAGGCTAACGAGCACGATATGGCTTCACAAACAGTTTCAAGAAGAGACTTACCAGGCGCATTGCGGTCTTGTACACCCGGGTGCCACCCTCGGCACGCACCAGCCCTCTAATGGCTGCCATCCGCGAGTGCTTCACCGTAATGTCGCGCGTTACGTCTCTCCAGTTTGTGTTCTTAGCGTGACATTTCACCGAGATCTTATGCTTGGCCTCATACATGTTGGTATAGTACTCAATGGGCATGCCTTGCATCACAATGGCGGCGAGGAGGTGAGACAGCTGGTGTACCTTCACGATGAGGAACCCTGACCTCTGATTCGGGAACACGGCAACGAGCTTAGCGATGAGCCTGGCCCAGACACAAGCACGTGGCATCATGACATGCAATACCCCCAAGGGTTGGAAAGAATCGCAAGCGGGTGTGGCTTAGTAGTGAGCAGAACAGAGAAACAAACTGCGAGCGTACTGTGCCATTGAAAACTGCCATGTTATAAAAGACACTCAAACAAGTCAGCCAATATCAGCATCCAAGGTTATGTGGTCTCACCTCTCTGTCATGGTGACCATGGCCGCAAGAGACTGATCAGTGTGGTAATCCACACGGAAGTAAGCCTTGTACCATTCACTGAACATAACGGTCGCGTCTCCAATGTCCTCGTACCCGGGGAGGTGCGTGATGAGGGGAACAATCTGCATCATTGCCCGGTGTTCCCATGCCGCGTACTGTGCCACAGTACGGAAGTAGTACGAGGGGTCTGGAGCCCTCAAGAGCGAGGCCGGGGTGTCCACCAGAACAGCCCGGCAACGCCTGCATATATCACCCGCCGGGTGGCGGATGGCATAACGGCACGATTAGCACTACGGCCGTATCTATGCAGCATTGTATGGCGCAGTGTGACAGGGGATTTCTGAAAGACGGAAAACGCATATGCTCCACCAACCACACACACCTCAAAAGCTCCGCGCGTAAAGTGGGCGTAAGTCTCCCCAAGATGCACTTCATTGTGTGCACCCAGAGACCCTCATCCACCACATGTAAGATACAAATACCAATGGCCTCGTGCAGATTACCCCATGGCGTATCGACATACGCCCAGTCCCATAGAGCACACTGCACATAAGTTCAGCACGAGCTTACCCACACTCAACGGAGGGAATACACAACACCAATATACGCAAAAAATCCACCATGCAAAACCTCCTTCAAATGTCCACTTACAGCAGCGTAGTGGGTCGAGAATGCTGTCTTTACAAGTTCACAATACTTGGGAGTGCTCTGCTGCATCAGCTCAAAAACCTCCCGCTGCCCTTCTACCGTCCGTGGTTGGAAGGTCTCGGAAACCTTGTTCAAATCCCACCATCCCACTGTACACATTGAGCACGGCTGCACTGCAGTCGCAGCCATCGTGCATGTGACTATAGACGACTCGGGGTGGTCACACACGTAGTCCGCCAGCAACGGATGAACTGTCATCTCCACGCCCGCTGCGTCTTGCACTTTGATCCCGCCACTGCGAGCAGCACAATATTACGCCATGTTATAAACGCCCAAACAGTCCATGCGACAACACTGCCCGGTCATGCATGCTCCACATCGACACATAGCCATATGGTGGCATGACGACATACCTTTCCTTGCTTGAAAAGGCCATTAGGGGGCCTAGTACAATGCCCAACATCACTTGCATGACCTCGGCCTTTTGCTCGGCTGACATTTCCGCAAGCAGCGGTGGAAACATAGCAATCAGCTCGGTTGCTCCCAGCATCCACCTTAAAGCCTCTGGAATGTTCATGAGCGTGACATGCAAGGGGTGCGCCGTTTGACGGCCATTGAAACTCAGGTGGGTCACATCACTAAACAAAATCACATCTGCTAAAATCGCTTCTCCATCCATAGCTCCCTGTAAATGTGACGAGAGACCACTTAGTACAAACGGTGCGAATGGTTTGGCAGGACATTGACAGGACATGGCGGTAATGCTCACCGTGGCTTCCTTAAACCATTTGCAACCCGTTGCATTGCGATATACCGTCTCCCCGTCGACCTTCTCTTCCCTCCATTCAGTGGCAAACCCATCCACTCCTGACATCCTCTCCCATAATGCCACAAATACCTCCACGATCGGGCGGTGACGCAACGTCAAGACACCGAGATCTCCTTCAAGTACTATTTTGACCTCCTCCCGGTGCTCATGCGCTTCCAAAACCTCCTCCTCCCATTTTTCCAGATCCCTATAAGTCTCCCACATTTCGAGATCGTCGTCGGACGGGTTACGCGCCTTAAACAGCTGTATAATGTCTGTAATAGCCTCATTCGGGAGGTTGTACTTGCGAGCGATGTGCGCAATCTCTGCATGTATGTCAACCTCTATGTCGCGTTCCTCCGACCGTTCTGAGCTAGCCGCGCTCGACACGCTATCCATCTCATGTGCCTCCTGAACATCCTCACTCTCCTCGCCACGCTCACTGTACTCGTCCCCCAACTCATCCTCGCCCTCTGAATCCATGACCCCATGGGACTATTCCCCATATACGTACTCGTATACCGTCCGTGGATACTCATGATAACGTCCTAGGGGGATGCCAAGTGTAGCTAGCCTTTCCTGTTCTGCAAGGCACTTTTTCGATGTCCCATGATGCGACCTTAAAATCTGAAAGCTGCCGAATGTATCACCACAGAATTTGCATAGTTCTACTGGCATGCACGTCTACAACTTCTAAAGTATATCGCGACTAAGCGGTCCGGCAGTTAGGGTTTGCGACTGAGATCCAGCTACGAGCACAACGGCGATTTCCACGTCTCACTGACGCACAGCCAGGAACATATCCCGCTCTGTTACGGCACTGTACCTTTTATGCCTTGGGTACAGCGCTGGATGTGATATGACTCATTTAGGAGATAGAATAACTTATATTTGGAGCATTATTTCTGACGACGGGGGTCTGTTTACCCTACTTTGTAATATAAACTATATTGACCAAGCACTAATCCCCTAAACATAACAACAGCAACACAGCCAAAATGCATGGGGTCACGCAGCCTAGGGCCTTCTTCAAATGCATCAGTCAGTCGCATGTGATTGCAACTGAAACTATTAGTGACCGTTCATGGCTGCACCATAACAAATAGGGTTGTATCAACCAGCGCCAGAGTCCTTCCTACTACGTTTGACCTCCTCGGCTGGTAAGAGCCGATCCAACAAACGCATGAAGAGCCGAGCATCTTCATAAGTAGTAGGCCGGGACCCTCCTGCACATGGGTGCCCTTGGGGATTGGTTAACACCAAGGAATACATGGATATTGAATAATACGCAATGGTAAAGATTACCCGCAACTAGGCCGTGGAAAACCGGCCTGCTCCTGGATGATGTGTAGCCCCCAGGGCTACGAGAAGTGTGACGCGAGCCTACACAACAAGAAACAGAGAAAGAAAGACACAATGTTAAACCTGAGCGTGCGTATACGCGATCATGAGAATCATCCGTCACTGTCCTTTTCATACCCCGTTGTGCGTCATTCGATGCAGAGCGGGTGGCCTGGGTTGCACTGCTGGGTACAGGTTTGGCTCGAGCCGGGGAGGCATTACTCGAGAATACATAACCGTCAGGAACATCCCTAGAGTGACCCACCCCCCCCCTCAAGGCAGAGTTGTTTTCATGTGAAGGCTTCGCAACACCTGCGCCACTGGCATGTTCCCCGCTTAGCTTCAAAGTCGAGGCTGGCGTGGGAACGGCTTCCACCTTAACATGTGCTGTAAAGTTAGATCGCTCTATGGCGGCGTCGGCGGAAGAGACATAACCTCCCTTGCCTGTCAACCCCGGTTCATGTCGCCATGCCGCGTCTTTCCCTTCATTTGCTTTCCCGTCTACCAGCGCCACCCCCGGCTTTCCCTCCTCTGTCATAGCGTCTTCTGCCAGTCCTTCCACATTCCCGTCCTCTGTTTCTGCGTCTTCCTGCACCACAAATGGCTTTCCCTCCTCTGTCTCTGCGTCTTCTGGCGCCACCTCCGCATTTCCGTCCTCGGTATCTGCGTCTTCTGGCGCCACCTCCACAATTCCTTCCTCGGTCTCTGCTTTTTGTTTGCCGACCTCCGCATTTCCGTTCTCAGTCTCTGCCTCACGTTTAGCGACCTCCGCATTTCCGTCTTCGGTCTCTGCGTCTTCTGGCGCCACACCCGCATTTGTGTTAACGGTCTCTGCGTCTTCCCACGCCCCCTCCTCATTACCATCCTCTGTCTCTGCGTCTTCCCACGCCCCCTCCTCATTACCATCCTCTGTCTCTGCGTCCTCTGGCGCCACATCGGCCGTGCCATCATTTGTCTCCGCGTCTCCTCTATCCACACCCGCTCTTCCAAACTCGACATCGGCGTCCTTCGTTGCGACCTCCGGTATGGCGTCCTGCGTCTCCTCGTCATCAGTCACCTCTGAATCCTTTTGCGCCTCTGTCTCTGCATCCAGGAACCCCCAGTCTCCTGCCTCCGTTTCGGCGTCCTTAGCCTCAGTCGGTCCGTACGGTGCAAGTTCCAAGTTACGACATGGCGCTTCAACATCTCCGTCAGACATTCCCTCACCTAAGCCAGGGCCTGACCCCGGCCTGCCCAAGTCACGAGGTGCGTGAGGGTTGAACTCGGGCAGCATCCACGCACCGGAGCCCTCATAGACCAGGAGCCGTATTGTTCCTCTGTGTCGACTAATGGCTCCTCCCCTAGTAGTTGCTGTCGTAGCAACGCTCGCCTGCCACGCAAGTTCTTCCAAGAAGCCATCTCACGGCGCAACCAAGTTAGGTGAGAGCACGACTGGCAAAAACGAAACCCCAGAGGTACAAGTTTAGGCTGGCTGATGTCCCCTGAGGTCCATTCTCATTCGCGCTATAGGCAACTTCTAGTAGTTCCGATTAACGAATTTCATATGTGTGCGTCACTAAGCATGATTATCTCGTGTCTGGTTGTTGTACTAGCTGATGTGTAATACTCCCATCGCGCACAAGGACTGATTATACTGGGTTACATGATCCCCCACTTGGCAGCAATGCTAGTAGCTGATGCAGGTTTCTTGATATTTCGTAACTGTTTGAAAACCAATTAGTACCCTGCACAAACATCTAGTCCTCTAGCAAGCAGGACCGTGTTCACAATATTACAAGCAACATTACTTGTTGCTATAGGCCACACTCCATGAAATGAAGTCCTTAAGATACTCAGCACGCCATTGGACGCTTGATCCATGTGCCACAATGGCCTTCACGTCTTGAAATCTGGTTTCAACGAGCGCCTGCATAAACTTCATAATGTATATGCCACAGTCGTCAGAGTTTTGCTGACGTGGCACCTGCATGTTCAGCGTTCAGCATGCCAACAGTGTGCGTCACTGTGTTGCTATAAGTGGGAGAGCACAAGAGCCATGCACATTTACCTCAATTGGCGTGTAGCGTATCCCGCTCTCCCACACCTCATCCTCTAACTCCGTAACGATCAGATTCAGGATCATCATTTGTTCCCGCAGGAAGCTGATAGATGCAACACAGTACAATGGTCCGTCTGTTACTAGGTAACATCATTCTGCCCGCACTGACACGTCCCGTACTAGCAGTACTACATACCTTTTGATGGGTGCGTCGAATAACAAGTGCTGGGAGAGAGAGTCTGCATGGAGAATCCTTGGCGGTAGGGGGATGATATCCTCGTCCACGGGCGGGTTGTTGTCCAGCAAGACAAGGCTCCAATGATTGATGGAACGGATATGATAGGATGTAATGCCAGTCCTAAGCAAACACTCGGGCGATTGTAAGAATGAGCCATCATTACAGGTTGCTCAGTACGATTGCAATGGATCTTACTCTAGGTTTATTGGGATGAATACCCATTTGAAAGTCAGGACGTTCTCCCCGAATGTATAGTTGGTCCATGGAGCCGATCGTGAGGGTTGTTGCATTATGTCGTACAGATATGTGCTGCAGTACAGCCATTCACGACGGGATAAGTCGTGTTCGAACTATAAAACTCTGCAGACTGGTGCAGGAAAGGTGATGAATCAGAGATTACAAGCACTTAGAATGGAAGCATTAGCATCTTCATTCGAAGATGAACTTTGCACGAATAGTACTCACATGCCCCACCACTCGATGATGTCACCGCTGACCCACTTGCCTGGCTGCAGGAAATCTGCCTCGCGAGGGGAGATCGTCAAATAGCTGCCTCCTAAGGGATATGGCATTACATACTGCTCAAATGGTTTAGCGACCTTCTTGTTACGCTTCCTAGCCATCGGGTAAATCAATGGAGGCTTTCTGGGGAGGTACTGGTTCGGTGGCCAGGTAAGTGACGGCGTAACCCTAAGTCTATGCTAAGTCATTTTGTTTATCGGATGCCGAGCAGCGAAACCCTTGGGATGTGTAGCGGCGGGAGACAGGTTAGGGACAGTTTGGGGACATGGACTGAATGTTGTCTCTTGATTACGTTGGGTTACCGCATTTTGGAATGTGCAATTGCTCAGTGGTCCCACGGTGTAGGAAACGGTTTGCTATGCTCCAGAGGGTCAGTGAGCTGGATGTTAGCGGTTGGTGTGGGTAACATAAGCCATAGAGACCTGCTCTGGATGTGGTTTGGGGCCATCGAGAAACGACAGGCTGTCACAGGGACATACAGAAAATTACACAGGTGGTTTTGGTTTGCTCGAAGCAGTGACGAGGAACACTCTGTAGATCCACGTGGCACAGTTCTGCTGGTGAGATGATCGACTTGCACGAGGTGATGTGGCAAAACCACGGCGCATTTTGCACCTGTAATTTGGGTGAAGGACGAGACTACATGGAGCGCCCATGAAACTGCCCTGTGTGAATATCCACGGCTGAGAGTGGCCCCCGGGGAGTGACATCAACGAGGAATAAGCTCCTACGGGGTCGATCCGTGAGCTCCTCTTCTATTTGACAATTACAAGCACCGTCACATTTTCTAATCCCTCATGGGAATGCTACGCTCACACCAGGGCGAACCTTACTAACTTAGCGTGGCATAGGCGCTATATTTTGTTAGGTAAGAGTGAAACAGCCGCTCACCATGTGTGCCGCTATCGCTCGTCCGGTGCGTGTTAGACGTCCTCCCCAGAGGCTTGATGATTTCGAAGGCATAAAAAGTGGAGGTAAGTCTAAGCCGTCGACTGCACAATGGGCGGCGGATGTGGAGGCGACTAGGACGTTCTTGAGACAACACCGAGTGTCCAACCCTACGCCCAAGGGTTATTTGGTAGCGGAGCAAGCCCCGGACATCGCTGGACCCGCAGACCCTCCCATTAAGCCGTACGGCTTCACCGTCGAGGAGAGGCTTGATTTGCATGCGCAGCACCGGCCTGGCCGACGCAAGCCGGTGAAAGTAGTGGAGGCTGATGACGGCGGAAAGCAGGAGAAGCACGGTGCCACTGGTGAGCATTGCTTGGACTAGGCATACTGTTTTGGGGCCTCAATTCACAATTATTGCATTTAATAGAGTTGGGTTTACCATTCCGTGGCTCATTGTTGATATAGAGATCCACCATGCAGTGAGTGACCCAATACCCGTGGCGAGCGGCGAAACTGATCATGGCGGGCCAAGAAGCTGCGAGGGTGGGCTTGAGGCTTTTGTGAACTACAACGCAATCCTCCATACGGTGCCGTTTTCTGACTGCACCGAGGCGGAGTTGGAGGAGGGAACGAACGAATCACAAGCTACGTCAAGCAGTGGCGATAACAGTGCGGACGAAGAATGGGAGGCATCTGGCAGCGAGGCAGGAACTGACTCTGATGTACCGCGTGTGCCCACTTCCAACGCCAACCCACCAGGCACCCCTGGCACTGTTGTTAAGCCAGTTGCACATGTAAAGCGCGGACGGCAAGCAAAGAAGCCCCCCAGGGAAAAGAAGGCCCGAGAACACAAGCCAGTCGTACGACAAGTCCGTGGGAGGGCGTCTAGCAAAGAGAACATGTGGCGGCAGGGAGAGAGCATCTACACACGAAAGGTACAGGGGGGTGAGCAAGTGCCGCAGTTGATCCCCGTCGCAACGGGCGTGGCCTCGGCCGGGATGGTGAACTATCAGCAGCACCAAGCCCGTTATGGAGCCGATGGCGCGAAACAAGCGCTGAATGGTCGGGCGAAGGGGGAAGCTGGTTCTACTAGCCCTCATCTTCAGTGTTCGCCTCCTCCTGGTACGAGTCACAAGCCGCCACTCATCAACCGGAGCTCACCAGAACATGGCGGTAAGGGTGCTGCAGCGTCCGAGTTGAAGCCGTCGACGCTTCTGACTCCAGCAGGAAGTGAGCCGATACTCAATGCCCGGAGGCAGTGGTCGAGCAGTCCCACACAGCAGTACTGCTCGGTCAAGCGTGGACCATTGTTCTCTCCTGCGTTGGTACACGCTGCTTCAACACCGCTGTCACCTTTGGTTCATCGTTCTATGGCCAACGCAGAACGTGGAACTAGCATGGGCGCTGGCCTCCCTGGAATGGTGCCAACGCCTTTCTTCGATGGTGGCGTGGGACAGACTCACGACATGGAGGCAGAGCACGGTGAATCGTCCCCCGAGGAGGGTGTTGGGGATGCCAGAGGAGACGACCCAAAACTCTTAGAGCTGAAGAGGCTGCTCAACAGCGTTCGCCAGCGACATGGCCGTGACATTTCGGGTATCCTTGCGGCTGCTGGTAGTCGTGGCACTCCACTGCTAGGTGCTGATGAGTTAGAGGCGTTGGCGAGTATTGACAGTTCTTTCCGCAGGCACGAAGAATGTGGAAAGGGCCCCATCACTGGGTTAAATAGGGGTGACACGCAGGCAGCAGCGAGTAACATACCTCGAGCTGCCCCTATCGCCACTGACGAGAACCCTCATGCTTTCACTAATGACCATCCTGATCCATCACCACAGCCTACTTCACAGCCCGCAACCCCACCCCAGGCTGTCGGCCACGCTACGGCTGTTGCACATCGCGGGCGAGTGAACGGAGGGCTTTACACCAACAGACTCAAGAAGGAGCGTGACCACCTCAACAACACCAACGGAGGTGCACCCGGCCCTGTTCATGCGGCACAACCTACACGGGTAGGAGTGCATGACCAGCGGAAGGACACGTCAAGAGGAGCAGCGTACAGCGGGCATGGCGCAGGGGCTGCCGAGGGCTTCCAAGCCCGTGGTGTGAAGCGGGAAAGGAACGTCCCGCAGATGACTCTCATCATTGACTATGATCCGGAGAGGAGCGGGGAGGGCTTGATACGTGGCATGGCGTCTCCAGATGAGATCGTGGTGAGTATGCGCACGGAGTACCTAAGTAAGTCTGAACCTACGAGTACGAATGGCACTAATCCTGGTTTCAGAGTTTTTCTTTTGAGCCGTTTGCACCTGCATGCCATGGCCGCGATCTGTGCTTAATCTGAAAGCCAATTTCCCAAGGTGCATCAAATGACTTACCTAATGCAGTGAGCATCTTTTGACCATGACCTGGTCCCGTCACCAGGTGCACGCAAAGATGGCAATGGATCTCCTGCTACGCAACTGTGCGGCGCGAGGTGTGACCCTGTTCCCTTCGAACACAATGAGGAACGAGGCGTCGTGCCACACATGACATGAGCTATGTCCAGGTCTGTTACGCCATGTCCAAGACGGAGTACAGTACGAAGGTCAACAAAGTGTGGACGAAGTTCAGGAACGACTCGTCCTCATTGGCACGCTACACGATTGTCTGCCGGCTGGGGATAGACGTCATGGGAAAGGGGATATACAAGTACAAGCTCGACACAGCCAGGAAGGCAGAGTGGTGGGAGACCCTCGGCCCACGTACGTATTGGTCCTGTTAGAGACTAAGGACGGAGTCTATGAAGATTAGGTGCATAAAATTCTCAAAATCGTTGGCTTAGAATTCTGGACAGAAAAGTCGCGCTCACAAGAAACGTCGTCGACGAACAGTTCACGGTCAAAACTTCACCAAACTCAAATATGTTGTAGCTCCACTCCGTGGCTACAATTTCCAAGTTGAACCATACGAAAAGGTGAATTATTTCTTGAGTTATGAATTTCGGCGCACTAGGGGGTATGCTGCCATAGAATCTTAACTCAATCACAAGAGTCTCACACAAGTTCACACAAGAGAATTAGAGTAGCACTAAACCAGGTGGAAGGGATGAGGAGGATGAGAGGGAAGGTCCCAAGAGATTCCCAACCAAGGAAACCCCATGCCACACAATTCCCTTCCCCATAAGCAACCCAACTTTGACCTTTGTCACTATCCCAACCTCCACAATCCACCTCAACCCAACTTGGCCACACTTGCCAGCCTGGTTTGGTTTCTCCCAACCATTTGGCAGCAAATACAGTAGAAAAGACGAATTTCTCAACCCCCAAAAGTCTGTACCTCATATTGAGTCAACCCCACAACTTCCCACAGTTGCCACAATCAAATATGAAAAGCATACGAACTCCAACGTTCGCAACTTTCTTGTTCGTGCTCCGATTGAAGCGATACTTGGTTCGTCGGAAAGCTCTTGAGCAGAGGAGTTACTTCCAAATAACATTCACACACACTCAGAAAAACCAAACCGCACAAAAAAAAAGAATCTTGCACACGCTCACACCACGCATGCAGCGCACGAACACATGATGGGAGGCAGACAGACGTGAATGCATATGATTGCATCACACAACAAACTCCCCCTCTGGCTGCCAACCATCATCCCACATGCCATAGCTCAAGCATGCACCCTCAATGCACACTCATCCCAGCAAGCTTCATGCCCTTCCAATGCTCAGATTCAGCCAGGCGCTTGGTGAGAATGTCAGCCGCCTGCGAATGGGTCTTCACAATCTCCAGCCGCACCTCCTTGTCCAGGAGCCTCCTCACCTAGTGCCACTTAGGTCTGATGTGTTTGGTCAGCCCATGAAGACAAGCATTCTTTGCTAGTTTCACCGCCGACTCATTGTCACAGAAAATCACAGTCGGCTCCCTCTGGCACACTCCGATCTCCACCAACAGACGCCTCAGCCACACCACCTCCTTTGCCCCATGATGCAGGGCCATGTACTCTGTCTCACAGGAGGACTGCCCCACCTCGTTCTGCTTTTTGCTGCACCAGCTCACTGCACCACCTCCAAACAAGCACACATAGCCTCCAATGCTGGTGCCATCCGCCTTCACAGAGTTGAAGTTGGCGTCGGTGTAGCAAGTCAGGAGCATCTCCCCCTTGCCCAAATCAGCTGCACCCCTCTGCAGCCTCTGTCGCACAGCACTGTACTCCAAGCCCACTGATGCCGTAGCGCTCACATAGCGGACCAACCTCTTGGCCGCTTCCAGCTGCTCATGACTGGGGCGTGCAACCACACTTGCAAGCCTGGATGTTGTGAGGATCTGGGATCGAGCTCAGAAAAGATGATTCAAATTGAATTGAATTGAATGTCCACCTGGGTACAACACGAGGCTATATATAGGCTCGACACAAGGCCCCGTAACCAGGTGTTACGCGAAGGTTCCGCGGGTCACGAAGCGTCCCGAACAGATCCTTACCGAATTCGGTAGAAGGCAATTCGGTGGCAACCGAAAAGCCAGAATTCGGTGCACGCAACCTAGCTCGGTGCTATAACTATAATAAAATATAGGAAAGCACCTAGCCTAGGAAATCAAGCAATTCATGCATGCATATGATTATCATATGCTAGAAATAGCATGATAAAGTAGAGGCAAGCAAGCATAGCTGGCATAAGCCGTCGTACTCTCACACGTCCCCCCCTCAAAGCTGGGTGGCGTGAGATACACCCTGCTTGACAAGATAGTCCTTGAGAGCACGGCGTGCGTTGCCCATATCAGCTTCTGCAACCCAACTGTCCTCAGTGGGGTCGTATCCCTTCCAGCGTATCAGGAACTCAAGAGTCTTGCCACCGCAGCGCCGATGAGAGAGAACGCGCTCGATCTCGTACTCGGGTTCATCCTGTATGAGAACAGGTGGAGGTGGCGGTAGTTGCCGTCCCTGGAACTGTTGGTTCGGGTCCTTGTAGGGCTTCAGTAGCTGGACATGGAAAGCGTTGTGAAGCTTCCATGTATCTGGTAAGCGCAAGCGGAATGTAACTGGTGTCACCTGTGCCTCAACGAGAAAAGGACCACAGAAGCGAGGCCGGAGTTTGGATGGAAGGTGAGGCAAGTTCAAGTTGCGCGTGTCAAGAAGCACCTGATCTCCGACTGCTACTGAGTGATCACGTCGCTGACGATCGGCATACTGCTTCTGGGAATTCTGCATCGTGGTGAGACGTCGCTGAGTCTTCTCCCATAGCTGCTGCATGGTGGTGACGAAGTCATGTGCGGCTTGGACGTGTGCCGGTGTAGTTGGCTGCTGTGGTGTGAGTGGTTCCCGTCCGTAACACAGGAAGAAATGAGTTTTCCCTGTGGCCGCATGTGATGCGTTGTTGTAAGCAAACTCTAGGGTTGGTAACTGTGTGTCCCAGTGGCTGACGTCGTCCTTGCAAGCTGTGCGCAGTAACTGTTCAACCACTTGATTGAGTCGCTCTGTCTGTCCGTCAGTCTGGGGGTGGTATGCTGAAGACATTGCAAGCTTTGTCCCCAACAGTCCCATGAGCTCCTTCCAGAACTTACTCGTGAATTTGGGGTCTCTGTCTGAGATGAGTGTAGCGGGGATGCCGTGGATGGTGATGATGCGGTCGAAGAAGAGTCGAGCTGTTGCTTCAGCTGTAGCTGTGGCGTTGGTCGGTATGAAGTGACCCATTTTGGAGAACTTATCGATCACCACGAGGATGGAATCATGTCCCCGTGAGGTCGAAGGAAGCCCTGTGATGAAGTCGAGGCTAACGACCTGCCATGGCTGCTCCGGTACTGGTAGAGGCTGAAGTAACCCTGCTTTTTTCTGCTTGCTGCTCTTCATCCGCTGGCACGTGTCGCAAGAGGTGACGAACTGCTGCACGTCTGCTGCCATCCCGGGCCAGTAGTAATACTTCGCTATCCCTGCTAACGTCTTGTTGCTCCCGAAATTTCCCGCGTAAGGTACGTCGTGAAACTCCTCCAATAGGATCTGCCGTAGCGGGGCGTAATTCGGTACCCAAATCTTTCCTGAACCCTTCCTTACAGCTAAGTCTTTCTCCCACTATAATAGCTTCTTGGTCTGTGCTGTAGCAATCTCTGCGTCCACGGAGTACCCATGTTGGAATAGACCCTTGAGCAGAGGGTTCATCCCGTCGAGCTGGATGCCTGCTACATGTCCGGGGCGGCTCAACGCGTCTGCCTTGTTGTGTAGCTCGGGCTTGTAGACGATGTCGTAGTGGAAGTGAGTTTCCAGGAAGTCCACCCACCGCACCTGTCGTCGTGAGAGTGTCGGCTGTGACTTCAGGTATTTGAGACTGCAGTGGTCAGTATAGACTGTAGTCTTGGCTCCCTCTAGGTAACACCTCCACGCCTCGAAGGCTATGACTATCGCTAAGGCTTCCTTGTCGTGAATGGGGTAGTTTAGTTCTGCTCCGTGTAGCTTCTTACTGAGGTAGGCGATGGGCTGCAAACCGCGTCCGTGATCCTGCATCAGTACTGCTCCGACTGCTTGGTCACTAGCGTCTGCTTCCACCACGTAGTCCTTGTCTGGATCCGGCAAGATGAGTACTGGCGCTGTAGTCAGTGCTGTCTGTAGCTGCTCCATGGCTTGCTGATGAAGGGTATCCCATTTGTAGGGCGTATCCTTTTTCAGTAGGTCGGTCAGTGGCGCTGCTATCTTAGCGTACGGCGGCACGAACCTGTTGTAGTAGTCGGCAAAGCCTGGGAACTGCTGTAACTCCTTCACGTTCTCTGGTACTTTCCACTTCTTGATGGCTTCGATCTTCCGTGGGTCCACGTGTACGCCCTCGGCACTCACCATGTGCCCGAGAAACTGCACCTTCTTCAGGGCGAAGTCGCTCTTTGACAGCTTCACGTAGAACTTGTTTTTCCGCAGGATCTCGAACACCTTCCGCAAATGCTCCAAGTGCTCCTTCATGTTCTTGGAGTAGATGAAAATGTCGTCCAGGTACACCACCACGCATTCGTCCAGCAGGGGTCGTAAGATGTGATTCATCTCCGCCTGAAACGTTGCTGGTGCGTTGCAGAGTTTGAACGGCATCACCAAGTATTCGTAGGAGCCGTATCTGGTACGGAACGCTGTCTTGTGGACGGAGTTGTCTGCCATCTTGATCTGCCAGTAGCCCGATCGTAGGTCCAGCTTCGAAAATACTGTTGCTCCACGCAGTTGATCGAGTAGGTCGTCTATGCGCGGTATGGGATATTTGTTTTTTACTGTCTGTTTGTTCAGTGCGCGGTAGTCGATGCACATCCGTAGACTGCCGTCTGGTTTTGGAGTGAAGAGAACTGGTGAGCCGTAGGGAGAGGTGGATGGGCGGATCAGTTGTCTGTCCAGTAGATACTCTATCTGTTTTTTCATGTCTGTCAGTTCAGTCGGACTCAGTCGGTATGGTGCACGTGAGACGGGTTTCGCACCTGGTTCCTCCACGATCTCGTGCTCGTGGGTGCGTGCTGGAGGTACGCCCGCAGGTAGGTCGTCGGGCATTATATCCTTGTACTTCTCCAAGACCTCTTTCACTGCTGCAGGTAG